AAGATGTTTGTGCCTCATCTGTTACTATCATCTCTAAGGTGGGTATTCGAGATCTCCATACTCCAGCTTACGGGGGGTGATGAAGGGATGCAACATACGTGACAAGGAGAAGAAAACATAGCTTGAATTAGATTGCTGACATGAAAGGCATAAGTGTAATCTACATATTAGTGGTTGTTATACCGGTCCATGTATTCACCTATTCACCTTCTGGATATAAACCAGTGTGTAAAAGCCATGAGCAGTAAAACTGGAATAATACCATCTTCTTCTTCTTCTTCAATCTGCTTTCAACTCCAGAATACGAACAAAATGACCCAACATAAATATAAACAACCCACTAATTCACCGGAGTGCTAGGAGAACACAGGAGCCACCAGAGAAGCCCACCAACACCACCGTGAACCACGAGTGACATGGACAAACATCTTGAGTCAGTCACCATCAAGTCCTTCGGTCGCCAATAAACATGGAGAGACCAAGAACAAACAGGGTGAAGACATCCATTCGCCGGAGCAAAAAAACAACAGCAAATGGGTGGAACCCAGTCGCAAACAACAGTCTTCTTGTTTGGTGGTGGTGCCGCCATGCCGTCACCGTCGCAAAGTGAAGAAGACGAGAGCAGTATTCTTTGTTTGAAAATTCAACGCCAAAGAACTCACCACCAAAACCACCAAGTAGTGGACCCACAGTCATGGCCACCAGTCGATTTAGGTAGAGAAGTCGCCGTCGAGAGCCTGCCTCATGTCTGAGAAGCGAACATAACGCTGGAGAGATGCACTGAGATGTTTTCCGTCGGAGAAGAACGAAGAAGAAAATATGTTATCAAACGAACTCTGTTTGGCACCAAATTTGAGCCGTGGACATTCCAAACTTGGTAGAAGACTTCCAAAAGTTTTGAGCCACTTCTGGAAATGGCGCAATTTCTTTTAGAAAACAAATCTTTCGGTTTCGGGGACTTCTGGGTTGGTATTGCTCCTTCAAAATCATTGTATGAAAGATTCAAAATCTATAAAAAATTTGAATCTTTTAAGAAAGCTGGGATTTGACCGACAGCAAATGGTTATACTCCTCAGGTTTTCCAAAGCTGATGCAATTGGGCCATCAAGATTGTTATTCGATCATTAGATTCAGGGTTTCCAAGTAAATGCAACTACCAAGCTTCGGTGGAATAGGGTCAAACAATGAATTATAAGACATATCCAAAATGCCTAGATTATATTTATCAAACATCCAATCTCTTTTGAATTGAACCTATGAATTGATTGTAAGAGAGATCCAAAAACAATGACAAGGATGAGAGTCCATGAACTTCCTTAGGTATGTACCCATTAAGGTTGTTGTAAGCATCTAAGAACTCCAGATTTTGACATTCTCCAAAGCTTGCAAGAATTGCATTAAGGAGGTAGTTTCCTCCTAAACTAATATAATTAAGCTCTAATAAAATGGTTAGATTTCTTAAAGAAGATGGAATTTTTCCAACAAAATTGTTTCCAAATAAAACCAAACTCTTAGATCAGTTAAAAATACAATCTCAGGTTGAATTTCTCCACTGATTTTATTGTAAGACAATGAAAATGACTGCAAGCTGATGAGATTAGAAACCCCTCTTGGAATAATTCCAGATACATGATTGGTGGTGGGTGTCGAATCCAACAAATAATAAATTACTTACTCTTATTAATTGCAATAGTTATGAGTAAGGTCGTATCCACAGAGATTGGTTAAACTTTTTTTTTTTTTTAACAAAAGACTCAAACAAGAGTGAGATGAGAATTGCAACTTAAATATCAACAATAAATAGCGAATAACATCAAATATCAAATAATAAATAGCAACTAGTATCCAACTCAAGGCATAATCTCAATTTAATTCTAACAAGACAGATAATTGATTTCAAGACAAAATTACTCTACTCTTACCAAATTAGTTATGGTTATTAACAAGCTCTAACAACCTATCTTTCCTGACTTTGTCGGTAATCAAAACAAGTTCTTTGATTACTTCCCTAGCTAATAAACAATCCTAAACAAACTCTTAGGATTTAATTTACTAGCAGCATTAAAAGAATTAGAAAGACAACCAATTCTAGCCAACAATTATATCGCAAGCTCGGTTCATTTAAGCTAGACTATATATCTTCATAACACAAACTGAAAATCTATATATAATCAAATTGTGCAATTTGCTACTAGCTTTAGAACACTTAAACAATTACGGATTCAAGGTTCTAAATAACAATTTAATACTTTGACAATTGAACAAAGGACCATTTTTGCAACAATCAACAAAGTACTAATTCAAACATAAGAACAGAAGATGTACAGATAATAAAAAGTAAAGATAAATTGAACTAAATAAATCTCATTGGTCTTGAAGAATCAAATATCAATAAGCCCTGAATTGGAAAATTAAAACTCAGCAGTACATTGCAGGGAGTGTTCACGGAGTAAATAAAATTATTCTATAAAAACTGACTATATCTACTGAAAAGTTCAGCCCTATTTATACTAGTTCAGGCTCCCTAATCAGCTCAAAATAATCCTAATTTCCTTAACATCCACAAAATAATGCAATTTCTTCAACCATATAAAACCTAGAAAATAAATAATATTTATTTTCCTAAATTCTACGCACTAGAGAAAATCTATCACAAATATTCCAACCTCTGCTTCAATTGATTTTGTCCGTTCATAGGGTTCGTGGACGGAAGTGACAGACGGAGTCTTCTTCGTAATTGCCGTAGTCGTCGATCGAGCTTTTCCCCTCAGTTGCCGATGTTGTCGCTGCAGTTCACAGGAATCGTTTGAAGAGGAAGTCGCTGTTGCGAACTCTGCTATCTTCGTATAGAGCTAAAGAAACCAAAAGAAAAGAAAATAAGCTAAATGAGGCTTGTGCTACTGATAAAACAATTAAAACATTTAGTTGAGCTAACTAATTAAACAAACAAAAAGAACAAAAAGAGTTAGCTCACTTTAATTCCATCTAACTCAAGTCTTATTAATTATTTAAATAATTAACATATTAGTTCAAAATATAAAATAATGTTCAAAATAAATGTAATATTAAATAAATAAAATTAATTTATTATAAAGACTAATCTAAATTAAATATAAAAATAGTGCTTATCAAAATTCCCCACACTAATCATTTATTTGTTCTCAAGCAAAAACATTATTCAAGAAAAACATAAATATATAAAAACTCATAATACTTCATGAACATTGGTCTCAAACACATTATAAATAATTAGCTAGCAGTTTATTTGAAAATGGAGCAAACTAAATAACCAAGTCCTTACGGGAATATCACTCATCACTCAAAAGTGTTTGAAGGGTGCATGTATAAATTTCACTCAAATCAATTCCTATAGAAATGTTCTACCATAGGCTGGCATATCTTCTCATTCTCCACTACAAGATAACATGCATGATCAAATCATAAGGACTTTCTCCATGGTTGTAATGGGGCCTAGGGCAAAGGGTAGGTATTATTTGGGAAAGTAGTTTAAAAAGCCTTCAAAACTAGAGGAGCAAAGATTGAATGAACTAAGGAGCAAAGATTGAATGAACTAACTCAAAATAAAGACCAAATGAACCAAATTTCTCTTGTTATTCTTACAGTTCAACTCTAACCAAATAAACTATCACATCCCATAAGATCATAAACTATTTATACTTTATTCAACATGAAAATAATAAATACTAATAATAACTAAAATAATAATAATTCTTTTTTCTTTTTATTCTTCATACATTTTTTCTTTTCTGTTTTGTCATTTTTTTTTCCTTTTTTCCTTTCAAAATCTTTCTTTCTGTTGTTTTCTTTTCATATTTTGCATTTTTTTTTATTTGATTCTTTGTTTTTCTTTGAAGAAAGACAATTCCATAACACATTCCACAATGTTTAGTTTAGAAACATCCTCATATCGAAATAATTACATCAACTCATTTTCCATTATCCACAATCTTTTCTTTATGAAAATACCAACCAACAAGGTCATAGAATTGAAGTCTAATGTAAAATTCATTATTCCACTCATAAACGCTTTGTCAACATTTTTCCCCACACTCAAATCTTTACACATTTAGCCAATCATAACTCCTCTAATCTTTTAGGCAAGGTTAAAGGAAATTAATTTCAGATATGAAGCTTATAATGTGGTTCCATAACAACAAAAATGCAGTTAAAAAGGCTCAAAGTGACTGACAAAAGATAAATCAATTATGGTATGAACATGCTATTTAGCTAGTGAGGTAAAAAATCAAAGATGGTCTTAATCATATTAAAAACCATGCATGCATCAAATTAGCTTTAAAAAGAATCAAGGCAAGTTCTAGAGATACAAATCTATGAAAGATATCACACAAGAACAAAATAATTGGACTGAAGTATCAGTCAAAGGCTCAAAAATCTCACAGGTGTATGCTTGCTTAGTTTAGCCACCACCATATCAAACAAAACACTAACTAAATACTCATAATATGCAAGACCAATTATTCAATTATGTTATGAATTCTAGTAAAAATACTATATTTTTTGAAAAATTCATTAGTAATTTTTTTTTGAAGGGAAAATCAAATAATGAATAATAGTTAAATCCCCTCCCCACACTTATTCTTAAAATTGTCCCCAATGTTAAATAGAATGTAAAGATAAGAGAAAAATTAATAAAAATGCAAAACAAATAAATGAAAAAATAGAATAAACTCTCCTTGGGTTGCCTCCCAAGCAGCACATTTCTTTAACATCTTTGGCTAGACTCCATCCCCTTCCTAAGGCATCCTCACCGTTAGGATTTCTATTCAGCGCAACATTCAATTCATCATTACCAATCAAATGACAACTATCTTCCTGCAATAAAATATCCACAACAAAAACAGATGATATCTCATTCAAATGTTTAATGGTAGTATTAAATATATCAAATTTAATAATTTCACCATCAAAATCCATTGTTAATGTACCATCATGCACATCGATTTTTGATTCAGTTGTTTTTAGAAAGGCCTTCCCAACAATATTAGTGTTGAATCATAAGAATTATTATCTTCTTCCATATCCACTACATAAAAATCAGCACGAAAAACTAACCCTTGCACTTGTACTAAAATGTCTTCCAAAGCACCCTTAGGATACACATTAGATCTATCAACAAGTTGAATAATTATACCCGTTTCTTTTAATGGACCAACATTTAGAGATGAATAAACAGACAAGGGCATGACATTAATTGAAGCTCCAAGATCTAACATTGCTCTTTCAATATTTACACTACCTATCTTGCAAGGGATAGCAAACATACCTGGGTTTTTACATTTGGGAGGTAATTTTTTCTGAAGGATAGCTGAAACATTTCCCCCCATGCTTACCATTTCATTGCCTTTCAACTTTCTTTTATTGGTGCACAACTCTTTTAGAAATTTAGCATACCGAGGAATTTGTTTAATAGCATCAAATAAAGGAATATACACCTCAACCTTTCGAAAGGTTTCAAGAATTTCTTTTTCTTCTTCGACCTTCTTGGATTTAGCCAATCTACTAGGAAAAGGCGGAGGAATTACCATAGTCTTTGGATGCTCTCCAATAGGCTTTTGATCATCTTGAGATTGATGGACTTCTTTTTCAGTTTCCTCATCTTGGTTAGGTGTTTTCCTCACTTGAGTAGGTTCTGACAACTCTTTTCCACTTCTCAATGTAATTGCACTCACATTTTGCTTGGGATTCACAATAGTTTGTGATGACAACTTACCTTGAGACTCTAATCTACCCACGGTAGATGCTAGCTGGCACATTTGACTTTCTAAGTGTTGAATACTTGTTCTTGTTTCTTGCTAAAATTGTTGTGTGTTAGTAGCAAGTGACTTAACAATATCTTCCAACGACATACCTGAATTAGAAGATGAAGCTTGTTGTGAAGATGAAGCTTGTTGTTGTGGAACATGCTGATATTGTTGAAATTGTGAGCGTGCTTTATAGCTGAAATTCGGATGATCCCTCCATCATGGGATATATGAATTTGAATAGGGATCATAATTTCTTTGTGGTTGACCCGGAAACCCTCCAATTACATTAGCTTGCTCACAAGAATCGTATTGAAGCGTCGGGCACATGTCAATTGGATGGCCAGTAACAGCACAAATCCCACAAGCTTTTACTTGTTGCACATTTCCTATAACTAACTGTTGAACAAGAGTAGTTAATTGAGATAATTTATTGTCAAGGGAAGAAATATTTACCTCGTTCACTCTTCTTGAAGATGCATCTTGTCTACATCCAAATTGTTGTGAATTGGCAGCCATTATTGATATCAAATCTCTAGCTTGACAAGGAGTTTTATTCACTATAGCACCTCCACTAGCTGCATCCATCATATTTCTCTCCATGGGAAGCAATCCTTCATAGAAGTATTGAACGATGAGTTGTTCAGACACTCAATGTTGGGGGCAACTTGCACACAGTTGCTTGAAGCGTTCCCAGTATTCGTGGAGGGTCTCTATGTCTCTTTGCTTGATGCCACATATTTATCTTTTAATGCTAGCTGCTCGTGATGCTGGAAAAAACTTTTCAAGAAACAATCTTACCATATCTGTCCATGTGGTTATTGAGCTTGGAGGGAGGTAAAATAACTAATCTTTTGCTCTCTCGGCTAATGAAAATGGGAATGCATGAAGTTTGATTTGATCTTTTGTCACTCCTTGTGGTTTGAAGCTCGAACGCACCACGTGAAACTCCTTTAGATGCTTATGTGGATCTTCATTTTCAAGTCCACGAAAAGTTGGAATTAATACAAAACCTGACCTTAATTCAAAACCAACCTCTAATGTAGGATGTTGAATACAAAGCGGTTGTTGATTCATATTTGGTGCAGAAAGCTTCCGCAAAGTCCTTTGTTCTTCGGCCATTACTTACTCTACTTCGGGATCGCAGCAAAGGGCAGTTGATTCGGTTGTGGTATTTGATTGAAGGGATGTTGATGAAAGGGCTTGATTTTTGTGCAACTTAGTTTCCTTCCTCAACCTTTTAGCAGTCTTCTCGATTTCAGGATCGTATTGCAGTTGACCTGTACGAGAAGAATGTGACATAAAAATAAATCTATTTTACGCCAATCCCCGGCAACGGCGCCAAAAATTTGGTGGGTGTCAAATCCAACAAATAATAAATTACTTACGCTTATTAATTGCAATAGTGATGAGTAAGTTCGTACCCACAGAGATTGGTTAAACTTATTTTTAACAAAAGACTCAAACAAGGGTGAGATGAGAATTGAAACTTAAATATCAACAATAAAATAGCGAATAACATCAAATATCAAATAATAAATAGCAACTAGTATCCAACTCAAGGCATAATCTCAATTTAATTCTAACAAGACAGATCATTGATTTCAAGACAAAATTACTCTACTCTTACCAAATTAGTTATGGTTATTAACAAGCTCTAACAACCTATCTTTCCTGACTTTGTCGGTAATCAAAACAAGTTCTTTGATTACTTCCCTAGCTAATAAACAATCCTAAACAAACTCTTAGGATTTAATTTACTAGCAGCATTAAAAGAATTAGAAAGACAACCAATTCTAGCCAACAATTATATCGCAAGCTCAGTTCATTTAAGCTAGACTATATATCTTCATAACACAAACTGAAAATCTATATATAATCAAATTGTGCAATTTGCTACTAGCTTTAGAACACTTAAACAATTACGGATTCAAGGTTCTAAATAACAATTTAATACTTTGACAATTGAACAAAGGACCATTTTGGCAACAATCAACAAAGTACTAATTCAAACATAAGAACAGAAGATGTACAGATAATAAAAAGTAAAGATAAATTGAACTAAATAAATCTCATTGGTCTTGAAAAATCAAATATCAATAAGCCCTGAATTGGAAAATTAAAACTCAGTAGTACATTGCAGGGAGTGTTTACGGAGTAAATAAAATTATTCTATAAAAACTGACTATATCTACTGAAAAGTTCAGCCCTATTTATACTAGTTTAGGCTCCCTAATCAGCTCAAAATAATCCTAATTTCCTTAACATCCACAAAATAATGCAATTTCTTCAACCATATAAAACCTAGAAAATAAATAATATTTATTTTCCTAAATTCTACGCACTAGAGAAAATCTATCACAAATATTCCAACCTCTGCTTCAATTGATTTTGTCCGTTCATAGGGTTCGTGGACGGAAGTGACAGACGGAGTCTTCTTCGTAATTGCCGTAGTCGTCGATCGAGCTTGTCGCCTCAGTTGCCGATGCCGTCGCTGCAGTTCACGGGAATAGTTTCAAAAGGAAGTCGATGTTGCGAACTCTGCTATCTACGTACAGAGCTAAAGAAACCAAAAGAAAAGGAAATAAGCTAAATGAGGTTTGAGCCACTAATAAAACAATTAAAACATTTAGTTGGGCTAACTAATTAAACAAACAAAAAGAACGAAAAGAGTTAGCCCACTTTAATTCCATCTAACTCAAGTCTTATTAATTAACACACACACTTCCTATATATAATAAAGCCATATGGTCTTGTGAAAATTAAATGGTGATCATCAACATTTAATTTTCACAAGACCATAATAATATTGTTAATTATAATAACAATAACAACAATAATAATAATAATTGCAATAATAATAATGATAATAATTTACACTGACAGTTTCTAATATATATATATATATATATATATATATATATATATTTATTTATTTATTTATTTATTTATTTATTTATTTATTATATTTATTTATATTTCAATTTTTACTGACAAATTATTGTGTGAATGATGGTCCACATAATTGTAGGGATCATGAATATTAAATACATTTTTAATATATTAAAAATACATTATTTTTATATTGAAAGTATCTTACATACATATATAATGTACCCTTAGTAATTTAAAATATACTTTTTATTTCATGCAACTCCAAAGTTTATAAGTTTGAAATTAATATATGGAATAGTTAGGCGACCTAATATTTAAGATTGTTGATGTGCATATTGAGGACTACGGAGACAAAGATGCGTTATTCGTAGATTCATCGGATACTATCCAACAACACTCTCCAACTTAATTGACATGAAGTAGGCTTAGTAACATTAAGATTATATTCTCGAATTATTAGTTCTCATCTTTTATTGATTACACACTTAATTCAATAGTATTTGGAAGAAAAAATCAATGTTCGAACTAAGATTGTGATTTTGGTCTTTAAAGGTCAATTGTACGTTGCTACATCTAGAGTTAGAAATCTCAAAGGTCTAAAAATTTTTATCCGTGGTGACTCTAAAATTGTAATTCAATTACTATTGTAGTTTACTAAGTTCTTAAAAACTTGTAATATTAAATACTATGTACTAAATTTTTAATATAGTTTAAGATTTGTAGTAATCACCCACCTTAAATATTATTTTAATTGTAAATATATTTATGTTCATAATTTTATCATAGGAATTCACACATAATAATTATTAAATAACAAAAATTTTATATATGAATAAACCTCATATAGAGTATATTTTTATAACATATTTTCCGTGCATCACACGGGACAAATACTAGTATGTATATATATATATATATATATATATATATATATATATATATATATATATATATATATATATATATATATATATATATATATATATATATATATATATATAGGGTCCGGATCAGGTGAGGACCTAATCTTAGGTGAGGACGTGAGGACTAATCTACACCATTAAATCAGAATGATGTATGATTGAGATTAAAAGAAACAAATCACATGGATTAAGAAAACAAATCCCTTTAAAATATTAAAATATATAAATTTAGGGTAAATCAGTCATATTAAAAGATGTGCATTCCTATACAAAATGTTGTGCATTCCTATACTGAGTGTTGTGCATCAATAACTTCATTGTTGTGCACTCAAACCCCGCCAAAAAATCATAGTGAACATCCAATGTTCTACGATGCATTGAACTATGTGCTATAATGCACAACTCCCTAGCCTATAGTGCACAACTTACAACACTAGGTTGCACAATCAGCACACACGAATGCACAATCGTACTACCCAGGCATTTATACATATACACGACAATCCAAATATAGACAATATTATACTCAAAAGAACAAGCAAAAAAAATAAAAAATACTGATTAGTTTGCATGGGCGAACACTCAATCAATGATGAAGAAATCGCGACTCCAAATTGCAACGGTGATGATCCAAGAAAATAGGAAACCAATTTGGCCAAGGATTATACATGCGTTCACACTTAAAAAAAAATAGAAAAAAGACACTATTATCCCACTTTAATAAAAAAGATCAATCCATGTCATCTCAAGAACTCAAATCTGGACCATCCAAATAAAAAAACAAACGCACAAGATTAGTCATCACGTCCTCACCTAAGATTAGGTCCTCACCTGATCCGGATTCTATATATATATATATATATATATATATTATTCCAAATGACCCAAAATCATCTTTAAGCTTAATTATTTAAATAATTAACATATTAGTTCAAAATATAAAATAATGTTCAAAATAAATGTATTATTAAATAAATAAAATTAATTTATTATAAAGACTAATCTAAATTAAATATAAAAATAGTGCTTATCAATTGGTCTGAAGGGAAAGATATATAAGGTTTCTTGAAAGGTTAGTGATTGATGTAGGCATGCAAGAAACTTCCAAAATTATTTCTACCAAGCTCCAATATCTCAATGCATGTTGCATTAGTCAATGAAGAAAGAAAGTTCAAGTAAAAAACATTCCCTTCCCCAAGATGATTATTTGCGGCCAAGAACCTTTGCAATTTTTGCAACTTTCCAAGGCCATGAACTTTTCCTATCAGTTTATTTGCACTAGCACAGAAAAACTGCAAGTTTGTTACATTTGATAATGTAGTAGGAATACTTCCAGTGAAATTGTTCCTAGAAACAACAACAACAACAAAAAAACAAAAAAAAAAAAGGGCGGGGAAAAGTGACAAAAAAAGTCTGGTGCAAAGTTCCCTGGCCCCTATGTGATTTGCACCCAAATCAATAACCAACATGGATGAATGATTGAATAGAGAAGGGGGTATAGTGTCAATCAAATTATTTCCACGAACCTTAATGTATTGTAATCTTGGTAATCTACATAGAGAGTCGGGTATTTCCACTGACAAGTTGTTGAGGGTGAAAGAAATGTCATAAAGCAAAGAAAGATTCCCAAGAGAATGAGGGATTTTACTAAAAAGGTTGTTCTGACGAAAGCGAATACATTGGAGATTTGTTAAGGTGCCAAGCTCTGATGGAATGTTGCCTGTGAGATTATTGTAAGAGAAATCTACCTCATTCAAATTTTTGCAAATAGAAATGTTTGAAGGTATGAATCCACTAAGAGAGTTATTGTTCAAATACAAAATTTGCATCGTATGCAAATTTTGTATCTCTGGCGGGATTTCACCTGAGAAACTGATGTTTTGGAGGGCCAGAACCCTAAGAAAGCTCATGTTTCCAATGTGTGAAGACAAGATCCCACAAGCTTCAGAGACTCGTGGTTTATGAATGTGACTCTTTGGTGGCCGCGAAAGTAAGAAACACCAAACCACTCACAAAAATGAATGGTTTCATTCCACGAGGTCATGGCACCAAGTGGATCATCTTTGATCATTTTCTTGAGTTCAAGAAGTGAAGCTTTGTCGGTTTCATTACAAGAAACCAGCACCAATCCTGGAATCGATAAGCTAAGGAAACACAAACAAATGACCAACATGGTGGAAATAAAATAGAGAGTTGGAAAAGCCATTATATCAAAGTGGCCTGATGTGCGAATTGAAAGGGAGATATATAGTAGGTAGGAAGTGATGTTTGTGTATGCCACATTGCTGATTGCTACCATAAGCC